GAAATTGACAACAATCCCCACCCCCACATTCACTAGACATTAACGTTGGACTGTTAGTCACAAGGTCGGGTGTTCTAACCCACCAGCCATTCTGTGGGAGAAAGATGAGGCTGTCTGTTCCCTGAAAGATCGAGTCTTGGGGGGCTTTAGACTTTAGGTATATGATCCATCATTTCACCTCTCAGAGCTGTATTTAGTTCCTTTAGAACAGCGGTTCTCAACCTGTGGATCACGACCCCTGGGGGGTGACAAACGACCCTTTCACAGAGGTCACCGGATTCATAACAGTAGCAAAATCACAGTTATGAAGTAGCAATGAATATAATCTTATGGTTGGGGTCACCACAACATGAGGAACTGTATTGAAGGGTCACGACATTAGGAAGGTTGAGAACCACTGCTCTAGAACAAGAAAAGGGGGTCGGCAAACTTTTGAGACAGAAGAGCCAACCAATCCATTCCCTCACAGCAATTTAAAAATTATCTGAAAGCCATAAATATAGTTTTACAAACAAATGAAATCTCCTTATCTGAACAATATCCTTAGAGTTTTTCGATTTCACTTCAGAGCCATCGGTATGCCCTGTAAGAGCTGCTTGTGGCTCTCAAGCCTCAGTTTGCGGAGCCCTGCTCTAGAACACGAGGAAACGAATCTTCACGGGAGCAACCTGCGAGGGCGATCAAAACCAGCCAACCCAACTCACTGCCCGCCAGTCAGTGCCGCCTCATAGCCGAGCATCAAGTTAAAGCCTCCTTCGTTCTAAACTGTAAAGTGCTATCCAAGCATTAGTTAAGGAAATGATCCTATGCTTCCAGGAAAAGGAATTCCAGAGGTAGTAGAAGTTAAACTACAGTAATTATCCACCTCTATTTTCATATGACTGAAATGTTTCAAAATGTAAAAATAAAGCCATCACAGCATATTCGCACAATGTGATAACCCCATGCCACCCGCTACCATCAGGGCAATCTGAATTCACAGGGTCTCTATAGAGAGCAGTGTTTCTCAAAGTGGGCGATATCGGCCCTGGAGGGCACTGGAATAATGCAGGGGGGCTGTAAACATAGAGACCCACACTTTATCCTAGATTGTGGGCCACAGTACAAAAGTTTTTCATTCCTGGAGGGGCGCTAATTTTTTTCTGAAAAGGGGCAGTAGGCCACTAAGTTGGGAACCAATGCTGTACAAGATTTCCGAGGCAGTAAATCTTTCTGAGAGCAGGTAGCCTCATCTTTCTCCCTCAAACTGGTGGGTTTGAACCCTGGCCTTGCAAACGTTCGCCTGACAGTGCCACAACAGGGGGTGGGGGTGTCAAGGTGAGAACAAATTTATTTATTTACATGGAAAGACGTTTACACTATATTGTTAAGTAGATACATGGTTACAAGACAATGTATTTAAATAAAAACAATGGGCTGTGATTGTATACACCTGGTCATATTTATGCAGACACAGTGCACTAAAATGTATTTAAATGCTAACAATAGTTATCTTTGGATAGGAGGATTGCACTCTTTTTGCTTATCTGTATTTTATATCTTTTTCTATAATGAACACATAGCCTTGC